TCTCAAAATACGTTGACGGCAACGTTTATGAAAACAGCAATGAATAATTCGCGAATTACTCATCAAAACTCATAAAGTAAGTTGTAGTAGCTGCATCGCGATTATCGTGATGTTCTCCATGTTGTTGACTTCTTTATCCCGTTGTTGTTTTTCTTTTTCTTTGTTCGTATCAAAATACAAATTCACTTAAAAAATTTACTATTTTCCTATCTATTTTTACATTGATGATGATAATAAAATACTATATCATCGTCATTCAGAAAGTAGTTTAAGTCAACAATTTGATAAGATTTAATCTCTTATTTATTTTGTTACTTTTGATAATTGTTAATTTTCATTTTTTTTTTTTTTAATTTAAACTACTTTTACAATTACTAACTTCTATATTAATACTTCACAGATAAGATATATTCATTAGTAATGTGTCTTTGGCATTATTTCTATATTTAAATAGCTATGTAATTATATTTAACTATATTCAGACAATACAATTATATATTTCAAAAAAATTCGACAAAAAAATAATTAACTTGAAAAAACTGTGAAATACTTTTTTGTTAGAAATAAACAAGTTTTATACTTACCTTAACAATTTTCTTTTGACGCTTGATACGTAATATTATTAATTTAATTTTGTTTACACATCGTTCTAATTTATTTGTGAAAAATCTTTCATTTACATCAATATCAATAGAATAACTTAAGAGATTTCATAATTCATTATAATTTCGTTGAGATGAATAACAATATGGAACTATGTTTTGAATTACACACTTGATTTATTGATCACACATAATCGAATATTCTCCACGAATTAGTGATTTAATAGAATCGTTTGGAATTTAATATTAGAGAAGAAACTGAAATATTTTGTTTATTAATCCTTTGACATATAAAGACGTATGCTAAAGATGTCAGATATGTCGTATATCATTATAAACATTGACTTAACTACGTCTCTTAAACTACGAGAGTTTTACGTCAATTAAATTCATTTAAATACTGAATAATATTTTTTTTTAAAACACTGAGAGTTTCATTTTATTTGTATGTCAAATAATTAATAAATCGAAGGGCTCGACGTATGATATTTTCCCCTAAATTTCAAATAACAATTTCTTATTATAAAAATAAAAAAAATAAAAAAATAAAAAAGGAACCAAAAAGAAAAATTAATATTTATCTTCTCAAAAAGAAAATTGATATATATTTCATATGATTGTATCCTTTTGCATGATTTTAGTTGCGGTTGTCGTCGCATTCTTCATCTGCTGGGCGCCATTTCACGTTCAACGATTGATCGCCATTTATGGTACCAACAGCGAGGATCATTTCACATCTTACAGTAGATGGATAGAGTCTCTTTATCTATTGATGACCTACGTGTCTGGAGTCCTGTATTACGTCTCCACAACTATCAATCCGATTCTTTATAACATCATGTCGAATAAATTTCGAACGGCTTTCATGGTGAGTAAAAGAATCATCGTAAAATCGTTCATTGGTTTATTTCTTTTTTTCTTTCGCTAGCTATCTTGAATGATCGATCATATCAAATAAAATTGAATTGCTTTTCGTAATAATACTCAAAGTTACATAGTTACAAAGTTTTTAAGTTGCTCGACTGTTTTCCCAAATAGATTGTAATAAAAAATACGAAAGTACGAAGTAAGAGAAAAATGAATTGAACAAAGCAAGACAGAAAGAGAGAGAGAGAGAGAGGGAGAGAAAAAGAGAGGAGGGGGAGGAAATGTAGACGGTTCTTATATCGGCATACTTTTACATTAGAATAAAGTTTCTTTTACTTTAAGTTGGATGATGTATGGTTTAGGATTCTACGGGAATAAAAGTGATGTAAGTTGTTTCATGAAGATAAAGAAGTAAAAGGAAAGAAAAAAAAAAAGCGCGATTTTATACACCGTTCCGATTGTTCAAATAAAACACGATAATCGTAATCAAATGGTTGTCGATATTTTTAACAATTTAATCTATCAAAATATTGTTTGTAATTTGAATGGATAACTTGTAAATCGGAATATCGAATTTACGGATATATTATATAAAGCCTGAGGAAAGTTCTGACAATAATCCGCACATATGATTTACATTCATTCATCTCTGACGGATCAATAAAACTTTTCTCTTGTTTTCTTTCAATAACTCCTATTCTATACATATATCGATAGAATTTTATGGTTTACACGCGATTTATGAAAACAATTTATGGAAATATATATACGTTATTTACCGAATGGAATTATTGGAAACTTTCTGTCTATATCGAAACTCAAATATGCGAATGTTGCGAAGAGGTATATAACGTACCAGAGATAAACTCGATTACATGGAACTTTAATTAAATATTGATCAATTCAGTATATGAGAAAGTTCGTTAAAAAATGTTCATTATTTTTTAACAATTCGATCAGATTATTAAATCTTGTCAGATTTTATTTTTCTTGAATTAGATATTATTATATTCTTCTATTAGAATTTCATTAGAATATATGATACATCGTTATATTATTTATCGCATTTCCAATAATTTCAAATAGATCTACGAGTCTTAAGAAAAATAAAATAATATAAAAATTTTGTTCTCCAACAGGAAACATTATCGAAGAGCTGCAGGATGTCTACTCTTAGACAAAATCAGCGTTTTTACTCGAATCTATCCCGTTCGCAACAAAGAACAATAGGTTCTAAGATAGCTACAACAGGAACAGGCATGGTGCAGGATAGTACCGAGTGTTCTGGAAATTCGGCACGGGATGATAGTCCACGTCGTTCTTTTCAATCATCGGCCATCTTAGAAAAGCCATTGGAACAAACAACGGAGTTGTACGTGAACGAGAAGACGAAACGAGGAACGAAAAATTCGAAAATGATTAGAATAGAAGAAAAATGTTCTTCTTCTGAGAATAAATCGAACGATGATCGATCTAATAGCGAACTTAAACGATCTGAATCAACGAGATATACAATTCTTAAGGTCACAAAAGTCGATGGTCCAGAAAACAAATGGCGACGTTTTTTTAAATGGCTGCCTGGTTTAAAATATTTAAAATTTACACGTCGAAGGTCAAATTATTCATTGTCACATGACGACAACGCATCGAATGTTCTCAATGATAATCACCAATGCGAATTTTCAATGACCTTGTGGAATATACGCGAGGGCAACGAGTAAGGATCGTAGAATGTAAATACGCGTTCAATAAAAATTCACGTTCATTTCCCGACTACAAATTCTCAATACGTATAGAACATTAATAATGAAACCCTGCAAATAAGTATCTCTATAATTTTGATCTCTAAAAGAAAATTTGAGAAAAATAATAAATTTCAATCGGTATAATGTCAATTTTAAATCTAATAATAATAATAATATAATTAAAATCACTGATAATAAATTAATCTTGCGAATGTTTCCTAAAGAAATTCTGTAAAAGCAAAAACTCTTGGAATGACAATTACTCGCTGTGATAGTTAGAAAATACGTGATAAAGATTTATCATTAGGTGTAGGAATATAATATAAAGATAAAAATGAAACAATATCTTATTGAGAAAATCATTAACGCTAACATTTGAGATATGATTTGTAATGAACTTTAGTTTCAATATTCAATAACTGCGTCATCGTTCCGAAGATTGAGCATTCTCGAACTATGAACACGATATCAAGTGCAACATCTATAATTTTTGGATAAAGGAGAGCAACCTGTACAAAATTATAATATATATTTTTTTTTTAATAGTTAAAGAAAGAAAATCGATCAGCTTTAAAGCACCTTTCGTATCTTTCTTTACGTTCGTTCTAATTTCTATATTCACATTTAAAGCTCAACATGGATATGTTATTATTTTTATAAATCATACATTATATTGTAAATGTATACACGTAGTATAACATTAGAGTACGAAGATTTTTCATAAATAATTTTTTTTTTCTTGTCAATAAAAATGATTTCTCTTTCTCTCTCTCTCTCTCTCTCTCTCTCTCTCTCTCTCTCTCTCTCTCTCTCTCTATCTCTATCTACCTATCTATCTATCTATCTATCTATCTATCTCTACCTATTTATCTATCTATCTCTTTCTACTGTTTTTATTCGTATATTGTAAATAATCATGAAAGAAAATAATTTTTATAAAATTAATGTCAACTAAGAATCTAAGGATATGTATAAAAATTAATATTTTTAATGTAAATATATAATCATACGTTTTAAAATGTTCTAGATTTCTGGCATTTTCCTTTCCTTCGTTGAATTTAATTTAGCGTGTGAAAAAAAAAAAAGAAAGAAAAAAGAAAAAGAAGAAGAAAATTGTCTTTGATAATACACGGCTGAGGCAAAGAATACGTCAAGGAAAAAAGAATATTACGCTAACTAATTACGTTCTTTAACTAATTAACTAAATACGTCCATCATTTACCATCTTACAAACATTACACTATATAATGCTTAAGAACAAGTCGATTATATTGTACAAAGATTATAGTGTCATAGAAGAAAGAAAAAAAGAAGAAAACGAAAAAAAAGGAAAAATAAATCTCTATTCTTGTGATTAAAATGAAAAACTCTAACGTGTAATAATGAGCTTCGAGATTATTATTATTATTATTATTATTATTATTATTTTTTTTTTTTTTTTTTTTATATATAAGACTGAAAAAAAACAAAATTTATTTCGCGTGAAACTAAAAAAGATATAAAAATTCTTTTTATACGTGAATATTAAAAAAATTCATAACGAAAGGATAAATAAAGGCATGTTTAATAAATGAATAAAAGCATTATTCTTGTGGTACTCTTTCTCTATAGGTCATATATATGTATATATTCAATGACAATAAAGGTTCGAAACATTGTGACATATGTATAGGAGATTGTCGTACGATGCCTGATGGAGACAAACATCAAAAAGATTTTTTCTGAATTTATAATAGAAACGATCAAATCCAGGAACGTTATTATTTATTTATTTATTTATTTTTTATTTTTTATTTTTTATTTTTTTTTATTTTTTTATTTTTTTGTATAAAATAATTCATTTCAATCAGGCACCGTTTACTTACTTAAAGCACTGGAGGTTACATATTGAACTTGTAAAAATACACTTAGTAAAATGAGTAACATTTACCTTTTAAGAAAACAATGATATATAGAGATTTGGAATTATTTTCTATGTTAAATACAACAAAGTTTGTTTATATATCAGAAATATAACGAAAGATACGAATATACGGTGATATTGAACGTGTACGAATTTAATTAAATGATTGTTTTATAGTAGATAAAGCACAAACGAAGCCTTTTCTTTGAACATTGTTATAGAAAACACGATAAAATAAAAAAAAAAAAGACAAAAAGAAAAAAGAAAAGAAAGAAAAAAAAGAAAAGAAAAGAAAAAAGAAAATAAACAAAAAAAAGTATTGATAAATTTGGTGTCATGTAATATCAAAGAAAAAGAATGTAATTTGCAAAATTCTATAAGTAAATGTACTATCAAATGTGATAATGTTTTCACATATTTAACCTGATTAAAATATGTCGTCTTAATATAATAATATCTTTTTTACGTATCGATTAACGAATACGTCACGTTCGACTAAATGCATATAAATACGAAATAACATTATACAATAAATTTATACACCCAAACGCGATGGTAATAGTATACATACATATATGTGTGTGTGCGTACAAAATAACGCATGCGCACACACCCATACGGGATTAAATTAATGATAAAAAAATTCTTATATATTAATAATATTAATAAGCGTACAGTTCAGTGAATTCATAAATATAGAAATATATATACATATACATATACATATACATATACATATATATATATATATATATATATATGTACATATATATACATATGTGTATGTATATATATAGATCGCGCGAAAAATTTGGAATGATTATTTTTTTCACATCGATTAGAAATCGCATTTTGAAATTATTTTTACTTACGGTATATTTACGGTATACTTTCAAGACATTCCTTAATATGCTGCCAAGTTTGAAGACTCTGCAATTAGTGATAATGATAGTATTAAGTAATTGATATATAAATTTACAAATGAATATTATGAACTTTCTTTGATATATACATAACATTTTATACAAATAGAACTTTTACCTTTCTAGCTAGTTTAAATTGTAGAACACAGTAAGCTGCCAAAGTTTCTTTCAAATCGATGACCTTTTGATGTTGAAATCTATCTATATCTATCATAGCCTTGTTAGAAAAGGATCTGCACATATGTTTAATAATAATTATTTTATTGTATAAATTACGAATCATTAATTGATAAATGAAAATATATATATGTATATACTTTAAATCCTCATCGACTTGTTTAACGATATCATTCTGTTGTGTAATTCTATGCTCCAATCGAAGAATTTTTAACTCTCGTACTTCTTCAGTATCGACAGATCCAAATAGTCGGGACATTAATCCTGCTTTTCCTATATATTTTTCATGTATATTGTATTCATATATTCTCATAAGACACTAAAATATTGTATGCTCTAACAAATATATATTTACAATTTTATAAAATGTACCTTGTATCACTCTGTCTTTTTGTTCGCACGCAGCTATCAATGCATCCTGTGCTTCATCTCTAGCTACCTGTAAAGCTTCTCTTCGTCTAACAACAGCTTGTAAAGCTGAAGCTCCAAAGAGCCATTCCTTCAATTGATCCGCTATAAGTTCTTCTTCTTCAAGTGTTGTATCAATTGTAGCTGCTAATGAGTCCAAGTAATGTCCTGATTTCTAAGAAAATATGCTGTAATGCAGTGTGCTTACAATAATCTAATTATTTTTAATACATTTTCATATTGTAGGTGCATGACAGCATCTGTTTAAAAATTTTAAGAGCAATAAGATATCATAGATGTATATTAAATTATTATTACCTGTAAACCATCTCCCATTTCTTTCTCTATAGCGCTCCATTCACTAAACACACGGCCATAATTAGCATGTAATTTATATAAACTGTATTGTTTTTCCACAAGACGAGCTCGTACTCTAAGAAGATTGCAGAGATTGTTCTAAAAAAATATTACATACTCTTAGAATTATTATATTTGATGAATTTGTAATATTTGAACTCAATCAAAATTTACCTGAAGTTCAATTCCATAATTCTTTAATGTTTCAAATCTTTTATCTGGTTTTCTTAAACGAACAGCTACACTGAGAGCTTTTAACTTAGACTCTGCTAAACGTAAATAACCTACAAGATAAAAATAGATTATGCTTAACTACGTGACAAATATAAAAGTAATTTTAACAATAAAAGTAATTTGTTACTTACTTATCTCTTGAATATGTTCCCTCCAGCCTTCCTTTTGTTGTAGAAATCCCATGAAGTGTTCATTTTGAGAAAGTACAGGATGTGATGCTACTCTTAGCAAGAAATTCTATACATAATAAAAAAAGTAAGAAAATTTTATTAAGAAATAAAAAATAACATTAATTAGAATTATAAGTATTGTACCTCTAATCCTGCTCTTCGTCGATCTACAAAATCTGGATCAAAAGTATCTGTTGTAACTTTCTGCCATGCGTATAATACTCTTTTTTCTGGCAATGGTGGTAATACAATATACGGATATGCAATGTCTAAATATGTTCTTAATAATTCAAAATCAGTATAACGTCTCCATAATGAACTTGTGATGCTTAGAGCACCCTTGAAATCAAGATCTGTAACTCTATAAAATGTGTCCATCTTTTACTATAAACATATTTTATAATACATATGATTTCATTGTCAAAATAAATAACCTCATACATACTTAGTTTCAACAAGGTACACAGTATAGAATTCTCTTAAATTTAATGGTCCATTAGATCGCTTTTCAGCCTCAACTATTGAAATTTCCATATGATCCAATAAAGAATCCTAAAATAACAAAATTTCATATAAACAATTTATTCATTTGTATTATCCAATTAATTTTGTTCAATAGAAAATAAAATTATATAATTAAATTTTATAAAAATAAATCGAAAATATTTAATAATATACTTAAAAATTTAAAGTGTTTCACAATGAATATTTTTTAAAACACCATAGAATCCAAAAGAAGTGACTATCGACAAAATTGATATCGTATATATATATATACGATATATGATATATATATATACAATCAATAAACATAACACATTTATATTCTATGTGGAACGAAGGGTAATGAACGTATTGATTTTACACATAGATTTGTTGGAGTAAAATGTAACATGCACATATACATGTTAAAAATATATGTGTACCTCTTTTGATGCCTCCGAAGTGCTCATATTTGCATTCGCCTCGTTACAATAATTACCGTTTTGAAAAACGTCTTCCATGACTCCGAACGTGAAATTTAATGGTTCGGTAAGATTAAGGACTCGTCAAACAGCTTTCATATCACTCCGTTACAGACGCGTGATAGAGCGGGATATGAAGGGACACGTACGTGCAGGCTGACCAAATGTCAAACTTCAAGGAAGCCAAACTTGTGCAACATAAATCTTTAAACTGCAACTAGCTTGGTAATAGATGGTGCTGATATTATCGCCATATTGTAATCAAATTTCTACATGATAACTTGGTAGCATTCGATAATATTAAAAAGTTTTAATTAATAACAATGACATAAGAATTAAAAGTTTAATTGAAAATGAATTTTAGAAAATATTTATGAAATATTAAAAATAATATTGATAATAATTTAAACAAAATCTAAATATCGATTGTAGTTATTTTTAATGTATTAAATTTATTCACATTTAAAATGTCAGATGGCAGTACAGTCATGTAATTAATATTGACGTCTATACTTGATCGGTAAGTTATCTACGTATATGGTAAGTTTTGAATACTTTTCATAGATTATTAAAGTAGCGCCACTTTATCAGTAAAAACCAAATGTTCTCGGTGATTAAATCAGTAAGATTCTATAATATGTACAAATATTAAATTATTTAAAAAAAAATAATTATTTGGATTAGTATAAAATTATATTGACAATTTACTGAAAATAATGTTTTTAAAATTCACGTCGAAAGGATGATTTTTCAAAGTTAAAATAAAGTTAGATCCTTTTCTTTTCTACAATAATCGTATCAATTAATTACAACGAACGAACGAACGAACGATGCTTATCGTTCTCTTTGCAAAAAAAAAAATCTCTAACTCTAATGGCGTGAGCGATAAAGAAATAAGGAAATATGTTTGTGGCGGAGCAAAGTTTGTGCTAATTTACCCATCGATCTCCATTAGAAAAGCGGCTTAATTATAGTACAAGCTCCGCGCGAAAATTCCCTATTACTTCCTCGCTTCCGTTCCTTCGCTGGCAGAAAGTTCAACTTCATAACCTTGGCAAGGAGAGATATAAATCTCGGGACTTTATCCGACCAACCTCCGCACCACGGCCATAATTTGAAAAACTTTCGACGGGACAAAAGTGAAGACTTTCCTTAAAAGTTTAAACTCTCTCTTCGTCGTCTTTGGGTTTAGACGCGGTGGTCTACCGGAGTGTTTGCCAGGGTGACACCCCAACAGTATTTCGTTCCCTTTGTCTCCCTTCCTATTACTTACATTACAATACCCGGTAGGACTGCCTCCATCATCTTTTTTTTTTTCTTTCTTTTTATATCCTTTACTTATCGAGGAACAATACTACGTGATTATAAAGAGCGATTTAAATTATTAGAAAACATAGAAAATTTATCTTTTTTTTATACCCTCTTTAATTATCTAAAGAGTCTAATTATTTACAAAAAAAAAGAAAAGAGAAAAAAAAAACAGAAAAAAGAGGTAACTGATTGAAATTAGTTCTATCGCATTACGAGTACATAGACAAAATTATATCTCGCTGTATATTATACATATGCATGTATACTTGCATACATACATACATACATGCATACATATATACATACATACATATTATTAATATGCGATGCGTAAAATG